ACAGGAAGTTGGAAGTGATGTCATACTGGACAAGAATGAGAGTCCGAATAACATTTTTTCATATTCGGACTCGAGTCCGAAATAATCACTTCGTTCCGTTTTACAAGGGGAGATTCCGTTAAGACACAGGTTTCCGTTAAGACAGGTTCGACTATATTCACAATCACTGAATAGATCTATGGATTGTAGTGTCTAGTCTAGATCTAGATTAGATCTACACCTAGTGGTCTAGTCTAGAGACTCTACATTACATTATTAATGATTATTACTTTATAAAATTACATCAAGTTCATCAAGACAAGTTCAGTATCGTAATAATTTACCTTGTCTTGCCCGTCGTACACAGCGACCCCGCTTTGCTGCTCAACCAGACTCTCGTCAGGATAAAGGCTGCCATCACACCATGAAAATCGATCCATTTCGGTAAAGATTACTTCAGTAAATTTTTTAAGACGGCCCTGTTTTTATCTCTAGAATCAAGATCTGTGACTGCTCATTTTCTTTCGTCGTCCGAAAATAACAATTCGGTTTTTACACTTTGATTGTGGAGCTGGCTAAAAGCTTGATTTCCGGTTGAGCGATTACGTTTTGATACGAATGAAAGTACATGAAGGCATAAAGAGTAAAGAACAAAAACAACATGCACTCGAAAATATGAAGAACAGAAGAAAAATCTGTAATATTAATTATAAGTAGAATAGCTTCAGTATTTTTTTATCTTAAATCTTTAATATTAATCAATAATCTTTTGTTTTGAAATGCGACTAGACTCAACAATGATCCTGTTTTTTAAACATATCCTCAACCACTTTCGTCTGGAGGTCAGGGAAGGGAGGACAGTCACGTTCTTGAAAGGATCATTTCTTATACGACAGCAAAATGTTGGCTAAAATTTCACCCCTTCTTCGACTTGCCCCACGTAAGATGTGTGTCTTATTAGATTCGATTGTGTCTTGTATATTGAACATCTGTTCAAGTACCGACTTTAGAGATGCCCAGTTACCACCAGTTGTAACAACCAAGGATCACTACAAATTGAATTGAAAACTTGAATTTTATATCTTCACCGGTTGAGTTTGTTATCAACACGATATTTTATGTAGACTCTATGTGTGTGCTTTGTCTCTGGGGAAAGAAGAAAATACATTTTTACAAACTTAATTCTATTTTCTCTTTATGTGTGCAAGCTGACCTTGACGCGATAGTGTGCATTCACTAGCCATGCCCACCGAGCGCATTTTGTTCTGCCAATTTTTGGCCCCCGCAGCGGGGGTGTTTCATGGGACGCACTAACGCAAAGGTTGTCTTCAACTCGCTCTCACGCCGCTTCTCGTGAATGGATATGAATGAAACTTGGCAGCCAATCAGAAAAGAGGTCAATCTCGTAGTATGCAGTTTGACAACATTGTACCCATCCTAGAAGCAG